GGCGTGGTGAAAAAAAATGCCAAGAAGATTCATATCCAAAATGACCCTAAAGGTTGAAAAATACCTGCTAAAGATGACAGAACAGTTTTGTTTTTTGTTTTTTTTTTTTGTGGTACGCGGGCCTCTCATCGCCGAGGCCTCTCCCGTTGCGGAGCACAGGCTCCGGATGCGCAGGCTCAGCGGCCATGGCTCACGGGCCCAGCCGCTCTGCGGCACGTGGGATCTTCCCGGACCGGGGCATGAACCCGTGTCCCCTGCATCAGCAGGCAGACTCTCAACCACTGCGCCACCAGGGAAGCCCGACAGAACAGTTTTTAAAAAATACGTTTAGAGCAAGAAGAGCAAGGATAGGATAGACATGCACCTCATGGAATAATATCGAATGACTGTATCTTTTTTGTGAAAAAGAATGATTCTAGACTTAAAGGGGTAGTCAATATCATAACCATAAATTGAAGCCTAAGATAGGCAAGGTGTCCCTAAGAAGGCACTCAACTGTTCTAAATGAATTAAAATTACATTGCAGAGTGGTGAGAGGTCTTGTGGATTGGATGGCCCAGTCATAGTTGCTAAAGTTTTGGGGCTGTGGTATGGGTGACATATGTCAGAAGACTGGAGACCTTAGTATTGGCTTTGGTTTTGAAAAGGGACAGAAAGCACATGGCGTCCTTAGATTAGGCAAGGGACATCATGTTGATTGAGTGCAAACTCCTAAAACAGTTATTAAAACGATGATTTGTTAACGCTTAAGAAAAAAGTAGTAACCGTCAGAAGGCAGCATAAATTCTCTAAGAACAAGTCATGTTAGACAAATCTCATTTCATTTCTATTTTTGATATCATTATTGGATTGGCAGATCAGTAAAAATGTAGGTACTCTATCTGGATATCAGCAAGGCATTTGACAAGGTCTCTCATGATATGCCTGTGAACAAGATGGAGAAACGTGGGTTGTATGCTAGTAAAAGAATGCTGCCTGATGGATAAATGTCAACCTGCTGGGAGGTTTCCAGTGGCATGCCACCAAGCTCTGACCTTAATATTATCCTATATAACATTTTTATTAATGACTTACATAAAAATGAGGAAAACATATCTAACAAACTTACAGATGATACAGTTATGAGAGCAATAGAATGCAAATATTGGGATGGCCAAAAAGTTTGTTCGGGTTTGCAACATCTTACGGAAAAACCCGAACAAACTTTCTGGCCAAACCAATACTTTGGATGGCAGAATTAGAATTCAGCTACATATCCACAGGTTAACAAGATGAAATCAAATTAGGCCAAATCAAACCTCTAAATCTATTTACACCTACATCTTCCCAATTCCAAACACACAATTAAAATACCCACCAACTCTATAATTATAGAATAACTAAAATGTGGCTTAGCCTCAGAACTCGTTTAAAAGTTTTAAGAGTTTAGTTACTTAATGTTTTCGGTATGTATCAGTAGTGTTATGTGTTCACCAAAAATGCTGATATTGGAGTAGACGGCATTAAGAGAAACTTTTAGTTAGAACAGGGGAGACATCTGATTGTTGGTCATAGCACAAATTCCTGAATGAGTCAGTCAAGTTGATTGTCGGCTGAGACTTCCATCTAAGGTACATCAGATCTGCTCCCAGCTCTTGCTCAGGGGCAGCCATAGGTGTCCATACTGTTGCTTTTTAAATCACATGATCTTTCTCTCCCCTTAGTCTCAACTGACTGAGAGAATAACTGACAGGGCTTGCCAAGAAACTTAAACACTGCCTGGTACAGAAGGGATGAACTGGGCTAATCAAATTCACTCTCTTAAGGTTTTTTTTTTTTTTTTGCGGTACGCGGGCCTCTCACCGCCGCGGCCTCTCCTGTTGCGGAGCACAGGCTCCGGACGCGCAGGCTCAGCGGCCATGGCTCACGGGCCCAGCCACTCTGCGGTATGTGGGATCTTCCCGGACCGGGGCACGAACCCGCGCCCCCTGCATCGGGCAGGCAGACTCCCAACCACTGCGCCACCAGGGAAGCCCCTCTCTTAGGTTTTTAAACCTAGAACTAGCAGGAGAATTAGGCAGGTAGCAATGGAGCAGGCAGTGAAGGGATAAAGTAAGAGGTGCTGGGAAGTATACTTGGAGTCACGTAGTGCAATGAAAACCTGACATTGCTATGAGAAGGTAGAAACTATGTGGTAGACAAAAGAAATATTAAGCTGACAATAAGCTATTGGGCAAAGAAAAAGACAGAGAGTGGCAAAACTGCAGAGAATTGCTGAGTCTTATTGGTGCCAGAGATCTATAGGCCTTATCCTTCCTTGTGGGTTGACCAGTATTTCCTGGGTTCCCAGGGAGAGATAACAGTCTTAAAAAGATGTTCTCAATTATTTGAGGCAATTTGAATGACCTCTGCTCCTTTCAACCAAAGAGCCTAATAACCTATACCTGCATTCAACCTTGGCTGTGACACTTCAAGAGCAGTCTGGACAGACTGAAGTATGTTCTAAGGGAAGAGACCTTAGATGGAGGATTGAGGATTGATTCTCAATCAATGGAGGATGGAGGATTTGAAACCAGTTAATGTGAAGAGCAAGTGAAGGAACTGAGGAAACATTTAGTAGAGAAGTATCAGCAACAGTGAAGGGCTGTCAGGTGTGAGAGGGTTTTTATTTATTTTGTGAGACCCTAGAACTAGACCTGGGAGGAATGGGTAGAGTTAAGAGGTGGGAGATTTTGGTTCAATAAGACTCTTCCGGTAGTTGTCTGAGATGAAATGGAATGCCTTAGGAATGAGTCCATTCCTTATTTTGGAGATATTTAGGCAGAAGCAGGTAACCACTTAGTAGGCAGAGCAAGATTACCTTTAAATTCTATAATGCTTTATGATGTATGAGGCACATTCTGTTACACTAGCTTGATCTTCTTAACAATCTGTTGAGACAGGCATTTTTATTTATTTATTTATTTTTAAAATCGAAGTATAGCTAGCTTACATATCCATTGTTTTATTTATTTTTTGGCCACGCTGAGCAGCAGGCGGGATCTTAGTTTCCCAACCAGGGATCGAACCCGTGCCCCCTGCATTGGGAGCGCGGAGTCTTAACCACTGGACTGCCAGGGAAGTCCCGAGACAGGCAATTTTATATTCATGTTTACAGATGAGGGAGCTGAGGCTCAGAGCGGTATGTCACACAGCTCATAATTAAGTGCCAGGGTACTCACGGAGTTACCTTCTATTGACTACATGTGAAATGAACACTGTAAAGGATATATTTGGAAAATCCTTGCTGATCAAGCTGATAGGGTTTCTAGGTTTTTTAAAATTCAACTTTGTGACGTTGAATATATTTTCAAATGTACTAAAAAGGTACTCTCTCTCTGCTCAGTCTCACATGAAAACTTATGTTCTTCTCTGCGTCTTATGAAACTGAGACCAATTAATACATTCCTTGCATAGATACAGAAGGTCCGTGGGTGCAGTTTGTACAAACATGCCTAGATGTACATTTCAAATAAGAATAGTTTTCTCTTCCCATTTGCCTGAGCCCATTCCCCACCCTCCTTCCAGATTTCCTGTTATTTGGCTTCTTAGATGAAAGAAGTGTGTTTGCTTATCAAGATTGCTAGTTAACCAGATTGGCCCACTGCTTTCTTAGCTATCACTAGGCCCTGCAAAGGAATTAAAAGAAGAGTGAGTAAATCAGCACTGTTAGTGAAAACTCCTTGAAGACATACACTGCTCTCTGCTTCTCTCACTTCATTCACTTCCCTGCCTTTCAATTTAAAAATCAAAAAAAAAGGAACGATACACAAACCTTATCACTAGCACAGTGATAATTCCGTTATCTTCACCGTTGGTGCTGACCGCTACTTTACCTCTTGGGAAAGATTAGAAATATCAGTTTATGAAGCTATTTAATCTAGTTAGTGAGGGATGATATAGAGTTTCCTGGGTTTGGGCCATAGTGCCATCAGTTTGTTGGTGGTGACATATTTCTCATGCTATGGTTGGCATTTAAGTTAATATGCTGCTAAAGAAAAATAGTCTTATAATGTGAGTTTATTAGTCTTCCCCTTTCCATTCCAATTCTCAGATTATTGGGATAGAAGTTGATCAGAGTTGACACCAGACATTGCTTATGAAGTGATGTATTATACCCACAGTGTTTACACACAAATGTATTTAGAAAAACCTTTGGTGGTAGATCTAAAGACGACATATAGAAGACAAGGGGAAGTCCTTCAGTTTAACAAGATAACAGAATACTCTGTTTTATTAGTTAATGTTTTTCTACTTTAATAGAAAGTTGTAATTTTTGACTTGAGAGAGTAACTAGAAATGATGAATAATTTCTCAATTAATCGCATCTAGTGCTAAAGTCTATTATGATCAAGGCACATAGAACTGTGGAAGAGTAGAACTTTAATCACCTGACAAAGACTTGAGGAGGAATCTGGAAACCTAATATATGAAGCAACAGAAAAACAGAGGCAAACTTTTTGCTCAAAAGATCAAACTTCATCCTAAAGGCAGAATCAAGTTTTTGAAATTACACATGGACTTCCGATGGAGCAAATCGTTTTTAAAAATGTTTGAAGGCACCTTACTTTGTCAAAGAATCTTAAAATAAATAAAATGTAAACTATCGCTGTTCCTCCAATTGTGTCTGGATTTTCCTGTAATATCGCAGCATCTGAAAACAAGGGACAAATGTCTTTTCCTTCGAGGATACAATGACAGTTGGGTAATTGCTTGGTTTCCTATGTTTTTTGTGGGTGTCCACCATAGGGGTGTTGATGCCTCTGTGGTTTCCTCTTTACACGGGCGTCTGCTTTGGTCTGTGGCTGTGCCTGGATCTAGACTGTGTGCCTGTGGAGGGGTCTGCCTTTTTGCCCAGGCATCTGGGTGTGTATCTGTGTGAGTCTTTGTGCGTCTCTGCAGATGTCTATGCGTTTCTGTACTCAGTGGAATCATCCTGTGCCAATATTTAAGTTCAGTGGGATCGATAATAGCTCAAGTACCTGGTCTCCAACGGAATGTTGCTATTCAAGACCCAGCTGTTATGCAGATGAACTGAATCCTGTGTACTGGTTGGGGGAGCTGGAGCGGCTGGGCTGGGCTGGCTGCGGGTAGTCATTGATCTCCTCTGGAGAGAGTCAGCGGCAGGGGGCGGCTTCCTGGCGCAGGTGCAGGCGTGCGGAGGCGGCGGCGGTGGCGGGAGGGGTCTGAAGGTGAACTGGTTGTGTGAGCTGCTCTGCATGTCTAAAGAGGAGAGAAGGAGAAAAACACAAAATAGACACAGACTCTCTCACTTGGCAGGCAAGAAAACAGCACGGCAGACTTATCAGGATTTCAGAATAATATAACCTGTGGGGTGGGGGGAGAGTCTGAAGTTCAGTCTACTTGTAAAAATGTCACTTAACTTACAAAAACACGTGCAGCACGCTTATGAAATGTAAAACATTCACAGTCGCATTTACATGTAAATTCTTTAGGGCTATAGCAGCTCAAAAGTAAATGAGGCTGCCTCACACAATTTGTCATCGTTTCTGCTACTGAACAAATAAATCATCAACAAGACACTGAATTACAGAACAGAAGTGAGCCGATTTCCATCGGTTGCAAAAGTCTCACTTCGGAAAACACCAGTGAAAGGGACAAATGTGTTGCAAGGAAGATCATTCCACACTTCAAATAAAAGTATAAGGCCACCTTCTAGCTTTCCTCAGGAAAGGATGCTAGCCTGCCTACATGGGAGCAAATCCATACTTCGGAAAAACAGCTCACAAGTGTGTAACTGAACTGTGTGAGACTAATCTCTCCGCCAGCCCCCCAACTCAGAGTGCTACTTATAAAAGTGAGGCTAGAAGGAGTTTGTTCAGGTTGTTACGCATATTTCCATGGCCATGCAAAGCACAGTCCACACTCCACCCACCTTTGCCACACCCTTCTAGAAGCTCTACCATATTAGCTGCAGCTTAGGCAGCAGATAAGACTGTTCTTTCTGCCTGTTTGCAGAGGGGGCAGCCTGGGACAGCAGTCCTCAGACTTCTGTTGTTGTTATTGTTTGGTATTTTTCCTCCGTTTTCCTGGCAGGCACACGTACACACAGTAAGTTAGAATTTGGCCCATGAGAAATACCCCAATTAAACCTCTTTGAAAAGAAATCACTACTGTAGTTGATAACCACCTCTCTTTCACGGGAGAAACACAGCAGATGTCAAGTGATTTCTTGTAACACCAGCATATTCCAGATGAACTTTGTAGACAGCATGGCTTTGTCCCACCTCCCAAATGACTGAGAGTTGAAAAGCAGAAAAATGCCACAGACTTTCGATGCCCAGCAAAGGGCTCAGCTGGTTTGTGCCGAGACTCACTTTGCAGTGGCTGATCATAGAAAGAAAAAAATCACTCTTTTCAACCCTTCCACCTCAAACTTGAATTTTGAAGACACAGGCATCATTTTCGTATTTTAAAACGATACGAGTGCCCCAAGAGCATGACAAATTCTTGGCTGTGTTTTCTAGTACAGGTGGCTCTCCCTTTAAATAAGCTTGCTATATGATGAACGCAACTGTACAAAAGATAAGGAGTGGTGATCATTCATTTTATACAAAAAATTCCTTTAGAAAGTCAGCTACCCTTGTATATTTAAAAGGAACTAAAATGCTTCATGAATTTTCTAAATCACCCCCATTACTCCAGGCCCAGCCCAAATCCCATATCCACTAAAAATATCATCACAAGCACTTAACATCTAGTTAATTTTTTTAAACCTCTGGGCTCATACTCATAACCTTAACCAGAAGCATGCTTTCCATCCTTGGGGCTCAAAGAAGCATTGAATGCTGGAATCCAAAACACCTGGGGAGACTCTAATTTTGTAGATGAGAAAACTGATGCCCAGAGAATTGCCTGTCCAGACACTTGGCAAGTTAGTGGCATGGCCAAGATCAGAACCCACACCTCCTGACTCTGGCCAATGCTCCGTTCACTGTCTTGCAGATCCCTGTAATACAAGTTCTCTTTACTTCCTTAAGATACAGAGATACAGATTCCTCCACATTTTCTGGATTCTTCACTTACGACACGCCACCTGCACTGCAGTTATTTGCTTCTATGTCTGCTCCCCTCTTAGACCGTTACAAAGGAATGCACACTGGTGTAATGGTGTGAGCACAGTATAGTGGAAAGGGCACAGAACTTGCAGGTACGAAAAGCCTGGGTTTGAGTTCTGCCTCTACCGTTTAGAAGTTTTACCCCCTCATATGTTAAATGGAGATAATAATCCTTTTTCCTAATAATTAACTTTAATTCATGTAAAATGTGCTCAGACGTAGTATGTCAGTGACTGTCTTTTGAAGGTAGCAGGAGTATAAAATTTTAAGACTGGAGAATTCCTTGGTGGTCCAGTGGTTAGGATTCCGCCCTTTCACTGCTAGGAGTCTGGGTTCAGTCCCTGGTCAGGGAACTAAGATCCCGCAAGCAGCGCAGCACGGTCGAGAAAAAAAAAAAAAAGAGAGAGACTGGAATTGACCATAGGAATCACTAGTTCAGCCCTCCCTCATTCCCTCTCCATTTTACAGCTGAGGAACCCAAGGCTCAGAGAGATGAAGTGATTTGTTCAAAGTCATTCGCCTTGTATGAATTTGCCTGCCTATGTCTGATGATTCCCAGCCCAGGACTCTTTGCATTATACTACTCCAGAAAATAAATGACTCTCTTCTCTGACTTCAACACTTACTATTTTTATCATAAAATTGGCCTCTGAGTTTGTAATTTTACAACATTCCCTTGCTATTCCATGTTTTTGTCCTATCTCCCCAAAGGGACAACATGTTTCTTAGAGCAAATCACCTTCTACCTTTCTTGAATGCCACGTAAGATTGAGCACAGTGCTGGGTACAGAGTAAGATCCCTAAAAGTTTTTTTGTTTTTGTTTTTGTTTCTGTTTCTTGCGGTACGCGGGCCTCTCACCATTGTGGCCTACTCCCGTTGCGGAGCACAGGCTCCGGACGCGCAGGCTCAGCGGCCATGGCTCACGGGCCCAGCCACTCCACGGCATGTGGGATCTTCCCGGACTGGGGCACGAACCCGTGTCCCCTGCATCGGCAGGCGGACTCTCAACCGCTGCGCCACCAGGGAAGCCCCTCCCTAAAAGTTTTTATTGATAGCAAAGTGTTTCACTGGTCTGTAGGACCTAGAGAACCACCCTTAAGGTTCCCTTGGCTCTTTCATTCTGATATAGCCACTGGATTTCTAGACAGCTCATAGAGCACTAGGTATCCCCCTTGGAGGTCTCAGTGACATCTCTCCCAGAGCCATGGGGAAGGACAATGATACCCTGAAGAGGGTGCTTAAAATCATGCCCTCCAAGATGCAAAGAGAGCAGCAGTGACACACTCTACAGATCTGTCACCTAAATACATGAACTTAATGATGCAAGGAAGGGAAGCAAAAGGTGGGAGCCCAGAGTTAGAAAGAAAAGGAATCAGTTTTAGGTCTTGTGTTCAGAACACCTTCCAAGCAACACGTGTGACATCTACTAGCCTAGTGAGTAGGTGTTTCCGTCAGTACAGTTGTTCGAAAGAAAGAAAGGTCCTGTTCAGTACAATTGTTCAAAAGAAAGGATCACTCATTATCATTTGGATTTACTGCTTGTTGGATTTCCTCAAAATCTTTGCAACTCCTTTCTAACTATGAAAAATGATAAAAATTCTACTTCACTGAAAAGTACAATCATTCTATTATTATAACATATTATATCATTTCTTCCACAGGTAGTACTGCTTTGTATGGTCATTATGATTATATATATCGATTATATGTATTGAAAACATATATTTTGATTATATATATGTATATTTTTATTTATATCTATTTTATTGTCTATTTTTGTTTCCACATTTTAAATATGCAGAGGTTTCCCTACTTGTTAATACTGTCTTTAAAATTCAGAATATTGGACTGAGTGGAATATATCCGGACCTTTTTATGAAATGCAAATCATCTCGGCTTCATTCTTTTTTTCACCTCAAGAAAAAGATGGGGAATGCACTGGTTCCCTCCCAAATGAAGTAATTTAATCCTTGGGCTCCATGAAATGGGACTTCTCAACATTAAATACTAATAAAAAATACATTAGGGTTCAGTGTCAGGAGCTCTAGAACACCAGTTCCAAGGGGTTAAGAGTCACATGCACTCACTTCCAAACGTATCTGGCAACCATACTTCTGTGCCCAAGAGAGAGACGCAAGGGAGAAGGGGGGAGTAGTGATTATGCAAATATGGGTATACAGACGTACTTATAAAGCTTTCTGAAAGTAAATTAAGTTTTCAGATGGAAAGGTCTAATTCACATAATATACTTGGGTGGGAGCCAGTTTCAGGTTTAAGGTCCTAAAATAACTTGGAAAGAAAATCTCTCGGGGGGTGAGGGGGTAGGAGTCCTCCAAACTCTATATCCAAGGCATTTTAGGTGTGGCAGAGCTGTTAACTGAAGTATAAGCCTTCAGGAAAAACATTATCCTTGTTGTCAAAAGGTAAGTGGGAGAAGAAAGCTGTCATGCATAGACTTTTTTTTTTCTCTTTTTCTGCAAATAAACCTTCTTCTGGATCATGTGTTAGAGAAACTTTTCACCAGAAATTAGAATATATCTGCCCAGAAACACTGTGTGGGAACTTCTCAAGGTATCCGCCAGGGTGTTTTACCCCTTTCATTTCATTAACACATATGGTCAATTCAGCTATAAGGTGATGTTTGCATTTTGAAAATTCATTGCATATCACAAAATCATGCATGGGTAAGGGGCTTATGGGAAAAATGGGGTTTGGGCACAATATCTGAATGTGCTTGTGAAAGTGGGTGTCAGAAGGGTTGCAACCTGTGAGTTATTGTGAAGTGGTGGAAGGAGGGTTATCTGAATCAGACAGAAAGTTCTAACACCAGATGTGGATGGGCAAGGCTTCTAATACATGTGGTGAACGAAGATAGCTGGTGGATGTTTCAGATGTAAGCATGTGTGCATTTTGTGTATTCCTCCATGGCTCTATCTGCTGTATGCAGTTTCCTGCACTCACCTAGTATTTTTAACAGATGGATCGCACATATGCAAACATGCAATTTCTCTTACGTTCAAATTGTTCTCAAATATACCGATAGCATGGGAACAAATTAATGTTTTCAAAACATGCACTGTAGCAGAACTGACTGTACAGGCAAAATAACTTTCGGTAGGTGTTAAAAAAAATATTGTCATTAA